CCGGGGGTCTCCGCTTTCAGGAAATTTCAAATGTTTTGGGGTTTATAAGTGCGTTTTCATGTACAAAATGCGCCTTTTGTTATTTTAGCGCCCGGAAGACAAACATTACGGCAGAAACACTTTTTTTTCTCTTCATTTCAGCAGCGGTGTCTTGGCAGCCGGCCACCCTGATACCTCGTTCACACCAGTGGACGCACGTAGCGGTGCGGTAGCCTGCCTTTTACTCAAGCGGTCAAGTATTAAGATGCGGTGACATTCATTCTGAGTGGCACCCCCAGCGCACCTTGCTGACTAACGTGTGCGTTGCGGTGTGCCACCATAAAATGGCGCACGCACAGTTTAGTTGCAATGCACATCCATCGCCCAGGTGCATTGGGGTGCCATTTAGAAGGATGGCACCACATTGCATCAGTACACGTAATGTGCGTTTGTTGAATGTTGCAGTAAAGTGCGCGTTATTGCATCGCCAGGGCCACCCCTTTAAAGAGGAAGCCTGAGGGCCGGCGCACAGCTAGGCCACACCTCACCGCGCGGCAATCGTGCATGATTCCGCGCGGATTGCCGCGCGGTCAGGAGTCGCCTAGGTGTGCACTGATCGCGCTGTGGGTGCCATTATTTTCTAATGGCACCCCAGTCGCTCCGGGTAGATCGCGCGGTTCCGCCCGTGCTTCCTAAAACAGCCGCGCGTCGTGTATCGCAAAAAAAAAAGTACTTGTACCTTTTATCTGCGATTGTCGTGTGGATGTCACCCTAATGAAATCAATGGGGCAGCGCGGCAACTGCGGCCTGCATTGTGCAGGACCGCGCAAATCCCGACACGCGAGGTCCCGAATGGCGTAGGTCTGCACCGGGCCTGAGGTGGTGGTTGTGGTGTGCCTGCTGCCCAGAGCATCCCAGGTTACTAAGCAACGCTCTGGCCGGCTCCACGCTCGGCTCCTGGCAACCAGCGATGTCAGTGAGCTGGGCAGTATGCCGGCAAAGGTACCGTGCACCCCTCCACCCCCACAGGAA